TGGCGGACAATGAAGGCTGATGAGAAGCAAGGACAATGGCACTAGGTTTCAATCCTAATACATGAACTGGCTGTGTGGGAGCCTAGCCTGTTTAGATGCTCACCTTCCTGGACCTGGATAGAAGTGGGAGGACCTTAAACTTCCAGCAGGGCAGGGAACCTGGACTGCTCATCATTCTCGAGAGGGAGGGGGAATGGAGTTGGGGGAGGGGGAGAGGGGTAGGGGAGTGGGGGAGGAGGGGGAGGGAAATGGGAAACGGGGAGGAGGCAGTAATTTTTCAAATAAATAAATAAATAAATAAATAAAAAGAAAAAAATAATAATAGTAAGCCTCTGTGTGGCTATTCAAGAACTAGTGGGAGGGAAAGAGATCTCTGATTCCAATCTATCTCTCCTTACTGCTTATTTTCTCCTTCTTTTTCCTTTTGTCTCTCCCTTTCTCTCTCTTCTTTTCCTATAATCACACTCTTTTCCCACTCACCTGTTCTTCTGTTTTCTTCCCCTTTCCCTCCTTCATCCCCTATTCTCTTCTTCATCCATTTCCTTCATCTTCCCTCCATCATCCATTCTTTGTCTTATTTTCTCTACTTTCTCCTTCCCTCATATTCTCTCCTCCCTCATCTTTGTTACTCTCTCTCTCTCTACTTATTTTCTGCCCCACTCCATTTCCCTTCCTCCTCTTCTCCTCAAAGGTTTCACATTTTCCTCTTCATTTCTTCTTCCTCTTCTTCCCTTCTTCTTACTCTATCATACTGGCTCCTCTTTTCTCCTCCTCCCTCCTCCCTTCTCTCCTCACCTTTTTCCCTTTCTGTCTTCTTCTTCTTCTTCTTCTTCTTCTTCTTCTTCTTCTTCTTCTTCTTCTTCTTCTTCTTCTTCTTCTTCTTCTTCTTCTTCTTCTTCTTCTCCATCTTGTTCTTCTTCTTCTCCTTCTCCTCCTTCTTCTCACTTTCATTCTTTCCCTTTGCAAATTTCTCACCTTCCAATTCTCTCTTCTTCCATTGTCCCTCTTCATTTTACCTTACTCCTCCTCATCTTCTTTCATTCACCCTCTTCCATCTAACTTCTTCCTTTTGTCACTTTATCCATCATGTCCCATCTTACATTCTACCTGCCCTTTCATCCTCTCCCTCTTTTTCCCTCCCCTCTTCCCTACTCCTTCCTATTTCATCTTTTCTCCATAGTTGTAATTCCTCCTCTTACTTGTTCTTTCCTCTCTTCCATTCTATTCCTTCCAATTACTTCCTCTATCATCTCTAATTTTTCTTCTCCTACCATTTTTCTTCTTAGTTTTTCTTCACATCTTTCTTCTTTTCGTTCTTCCCTCCTTCTTCCTGTTCTCACCCCTCCCTCTTCCTTCCTATTCCCTCCTTTTCTCTTGTCTCTTCTCTATGTTCCTCAATACTGTTCCCTCCTCCCTTGGAATTTTCTCTGCCATACTATTCCAACCTCCTCTTTTCTTTCCTATTTGTTCCTCCCCTCTCTTCACATTTCTTTTCTCTTTTTCCTTCTCCTTTCCTATGATAATTCCTCTTCCTTTGACCCTCCTTTTTCCTCTTCACTTTCTGTCTTCTTCCATCCCCTTTCCTCTTATATCCATATCCCATCCTCCCTTTACCCTTCATCCCTTCTCCTTCATCTTCCTCCCTCCCTGTTTTCCTTCCATTCTTCTCCCATTATCTGTCTTTTTCATTTAACCATCCCCTCCCTCTTATATTATCTCCTTATTATCCTTCTCTTCCCTCCACTTTTCTCCTTTCCTCTCTTCTCCCTTCTTCTCCTGTTTCAGCCAGTCCCACCTTTCCCCTAATTGTCACTCTCGAATCCTTCATCCTTCTCTCCATATAACTCCTCTTCCCACTTCCCTCCTATCCCTCTTTACTCCACTTCCCTCTTAACTCATTTTACATCTCCACTCCTATTTTCTGTTGCCTCCTATCTTCCCTCTTCCATCCCTTTTTCTCAGGTTCCCAACTCCCCCATTTTGATTCTTCCTTTCTTGTTCCTCTTCCTTACTTTCCCCACTCCCTGGTTCCTCCTTCTCTCTACTTTTTGCTCTTCCCACTTCCTTCCTCCTTTACTTCTTTTCCTTTTCCTTCTTTTCCCTCCTCCCTCCTCTTTTCCTTCCACCTTCCTCTTCCTTGTCTTTTCCTTCTCTCCTCTTTTCTTTCCCATGTCCTTATTATCTCCTCTTCTATTTTCCCTTCTCTTCACTCTCTCCTCTTCCCATTCCTCCTTCTTGCTCTTCTAGTCACTTACACTCAATTTCCCCATCTATTGTATCTCCCTTCAATCCCACTCTTCTTCCCTCTTTCATGTGCATTCCTTTTTACTTGTCTTCCCTCTACCCTCTTTACCTCATCCTGAACTTTCATCTCTTTACTTTTCCCTCATGTTTCCATATTGTCTTTCATCTCCCTCCTTTCCCTTTCTTCCTTCTTTTTCCTTTGCCCTCTTCCTTTATCATTTATGCTTTTCTTCTTACTCTCTTCACTCTGCTCTCTTCTCCTTTTTCTTTCATTCTCTCCCCTTTTCTGTCCTCTATCTCTTTCCTCCTCCTTCCCCTTTCCTCTCTTCTTTCCACATTACTCCTCTTTCCTTTTCTATCTTCTTATCTAGTCTATCCTCCCTCATCTTTCCTCTTGGCTTCTCTTACCAGATTCCCCCTCTTTGCTGCACCTCTTCTTTCTTATCCTTCCTATTCTTTCTTTCCATTTCCCACACCCTCCTTTCCCTCTTCCATCTTTTATTCCATACTCTAGTTCCTCTTTTTCCTCCTCCCTCTTCCATACTCTTCCTCTTCCCCATGCTTCCCTGTTTCTTCCTCCTTCCTGCTCTTCCCTTCTCTTTCTTCATCCACTTTCCTTTTTCCCCTTTTCCCTCCTTCTCATCCTACCCTTTCTCCTTAATCTCCGTGTATTTTCTCTTTCCTCTTCCCACATCTTCCCCATCCCTCTTCTTTCCTCCTTTTCTTTCTTCCTGTCACTCCTTCTGCCCATATCACCCTTATTGCTTCCTCTTTCAACTTCATTACACTACTCTTCCCTTATCTTCCTTTTCCTCTTCTCTTCCATCCTCTTACCTATTGACATCATTTGCCTCTTTTCTACTTCTCCCTCAGCTATCCTTTCTCTACCCTCTCTTCTCTCTTTTCCTCTATTTCTTCCTTCTTCCTATCTCTTCCTTCTCCATTCTCTTCCCTTCTCCTGTCCCTTTTCTTCTTATCTTCCTTCCTCTTCCCGTTTCTTCCACTCTCTACTCCATATTTATCTTCCTTTTCTCTCTTTCTCTTGTTCATCTTCTTTACTCTCTCCTTTTCCATCTTTCCATCAATGTCCCCCCTTCTTCTTTTTACATAAACCTTTATTTTCATTTCATCCTCCTTTTTGCTCCTCCATTCAGCCTCCATTCTACCTCCATTATCTTCTTCCTCCTTCCCATTCTCTCTTCTCTCATTTTCCTCTTCCATCCTTCCTCCTTCATTTTCCTTCTTCCATTCTTTTCTCTTTCTTTTCTTTTCTCTTGCCTCTACTTCCATCTTCTCTATCTTCTTATTTACCCTCTCTCCTTCCTGTTACCTTCACCTTCTGACTGCTTCTTTTCTTTCTCCCTTTCCCTCTTTCTTCACTTCCCTCCTTTCTGCTCCTTTTTAGCCCCTGCCCTTCCTCTTCCTTCCTACTTCTTTCCTCTGTTCCCATTTTCCTTTTTTCTTATTCTTCTTTCCCCATATTTTCCCTACTCATCACTTTTTCTCACAATTTCCTAATTTCTTCCTACAGCTCTTTACTCCTTTTTTTCTCATTACTCTTTTCCTCATTCTGTTAGTATCCTGTACTTTAGTCTTCCCTCTTCTTTTCTTCATTTTCCCTCCCTATTCCTTCTTTTTTCTTGCCCCCCATTCTCTTTCCTATTTCCTTCTCTTTCCTATTGATTCCTCATTTCTCTTCACAGTACCTTCTCCCTGATTCTATCCTCTTACTTTCTTGTATTTTTTGCCTCCTCGTTCTTTTTCTGTACTCCTCAGTCTTCCATTTGCTACTTCCTATTCCATTTCCTTCCTCTTTTGTCTTGTCCCTTTTCCTCTTTCCTTTTCATTCCTCTTTCCTTAGTCCTTTTATTCCCTCCTACTGACTCTTCCATTACCTCATCTTCCTTTGTCCTTTCTCTCCACTCCTCTTTTATTCATCCCATCCTCTTTTATCCCTCTCTCTGTCTTCCTCCTCCTTCATATCATTGCCTCCTCTTACTTCTTCCCTTCTCTTCCCTCTTTTCTCCCCATTAATGTACCCTGATTGTTCTTTCTTTTCCTAGAGTCTATTTTCCAGTCCTCCCCATTTCTCCCAGGATTTTTCTCTTCCCTTTCTTCCATACTACCTTCTTTTTAACTAGTCTTCCTTCTTCCATTATCTCTCTCTTCCATTTTCTTCCACTTCTTCTGTGTTAGGGTGTTCAAGTCCTTCTGTTGTAAGCTCTTTGGGTTCTGGTGTTTTCATGTTGTTTTTCAGATTATTGGGTGAAGTTCTGCCTTGGCGCCTGCCCATCTCCTCCTTTCAATGCTATCTAATTGGTCTTTTAAAATCGGATCAGCTTTCTCTGCTGGCCAGAGGCTTCTCTTACTAATTGCCCTCGCTCTGTTTCCTGGCTCCTGTCGGGGGCCAAGAACCCTCTCACCCATCAGAAGGGTTTTCAGGAACAGGACCCGGCTCCCCATTTGCCAGGGACCTCGCCAACCAAAGGCCTACCTCTTTGATTTAATTGTAGTGGGGCGATCTGCTCTCAGTGTTGCGCGCTGGTCCCTGCCGCCTGTGTCCTCTGCCACTGTGTCAGTCCCTGCAGGTCCCTGCTGCAGCCTGCGGCCTGGGTTGCCCGCCTGCATCGCTCGCTCCGTCTGCGGGCGACTGTGTCGCCATTTTCTTTTCCTTTCCCTCTTCTTCCTTCTCTATTTCTTCCCACTTCCCTGCTATTTTTCATTTTCCTTCTTCATCCTCCCTTTTTACTCCTCTACTCTCCTATATTCCCTCTTTTATTTACCCTCTTCCTTTTCCCTCCTTTTGCTTCCTTCTCCATCATAAAGCATCCTTCCACTTTTCTCCACCCTCATCTACTCTATTCCATTCTTTCACTCCACTCTGTTTTGTTTTCTTCACTCTTAATTCCCAATCCCTCTTCTTGCTTTCTCCGTTTCATCATTCTTCTTTGTCCTGATTTCCTCTTCTTTCTTCCTCTTCCCACCTCTTTCTACTCTCTGCTCTTCCCCCTTTCCTCCCTCCTCCACACTACTCCCTCTCCTTTTTTAAAATTTCCTCCTTGCCCTCTCATCTTCACTCATTCCTCTTCCTTCCTCCAACCTCCTCTTTCCTCTCCCTTCCTTCTTCCCTTTCCTGCCTCCCTTGTCTTTTCTCTTTTCTCTTCTTCCAACTTCCCTAGTGTTCTTCCCCCTTCCCTCCTCTACACCCCTTCCTTTAATTTCCATTCATTTTCCCTCCCTCTTATTCCATCTTCTCTCATCTTCCTCCATCCTACCACTGCCACACCTGTCCCTTTCCTTCCCTACTCCCTCCTCTTCCCTTTTCTTCTCTCCTCTCTTCACTTTGCTCTTCTATCCTCTGTCCACTTCATTCCTCCTTCTTTCTCACATCTCTCATTTTCATCTTGTTACCACACTCCTTTTTCATTTTGCCCCTCTTTCACACACTCCTCTTTTCTACTTCTGTTGAAATAGGAAGAGGCGGGGCTGCGTCCCCAACACCCCAGCCTATGTCCATCCTGGGTCTGAGGAGCTTCATTGCGTGCATCTACCAGAGAGAGCAGAGCATGGCGTCTCTCCAGGAGCAGAGCAGAGTCTGACCTCACTTCCTCTTCTGCCCAGCATCCTATTCTGTTTATTCCGCCCACCTATCTTTTAACCTATCAGGGCCAGCAGTTTCTTTATTGCTCAGCCAATGAAATCAACAGATTGATATATGACACTCCCACATCATACTTCCTCTTCTTCCCTACTCTTTCATCTCCCTCTTCCCTTATATATCCTATTCTTTCTTCATCTCTCCTATCACTTTTTTGCTTACTATTCTTGCCTCCTCTTTTCTCTTTCTTATTTCTTCCTCTTCATTTCAGCCTCCTCTATCTCCAATCACAATAACATATTCCTTTTCCTTTTTCTTCCCTCTTCATTCTTCTTTCTACTTAGTTTTCCCTACATTTACCTCCTCATACTTGCCTCTTTCCTATTGCTCATTTCTTTATCTAATTCCCTCCTCCATCCTTCATCACCTCCCATCCTCTTCTCTCTTCTTCCTTCCTTGTCTACCTTACTTCCTCCATACTCTTTCTTCCACTCTCTTCAGTCTTCTTTCCTCTGTCCTTCCTCTTCCTTTCTGTTTACTCCTAATCCCTCTTTCCTCCTCTGCCTCTTTATCCCTCATCCCTCTTCTTCCCTCTACTCTTTTTTCTCTTCCTCCTTTTACCTTTTTTCCTCCTCTTCCCTCCTCATTCCTCCATCTTCTTCCCTCTCTCCTCCCTCTTCCTTTCTCTTTCCTCCTACTTCCTCTTTCCTTTTGTACCTCTTTATTCCTCATCCCTCTTTTTCCCTTCACTCTTCTTTCTCTTTTCTCCTTTGTCCCTTTCTTTTTCATCCTCTTCTTTCCTCAATCCTCCACCTTCTTCCTCCCTCTTTTCCCCTTCTTCCTCTTCCCTACTTTCTCCTTTCACTCATCTTTTCTCCTCTTTCTTTTCCTCCATTATTCCTCTTCCCTCATTTTCTCCCCTATTTCCTCCTTGTCTGTCTTCCCTCATTCCACCTTCTCTATCTTCCCTTCTCCCTTCTGCTTCCTTCAACTTCTTTCCTCTGTCATAATACCTGTTCCATTTTCTCTCGTACCTCTATTTTCTTCCTTCTACTTTTTCCCTATTTCATTTTCTTCCCTCATTTCTGCCCTTTCATCTTCTATCCTCTTGGCTCCTTTTCTCTCTTTCCTTTTCCCTCTGCCTCATTCCTTTTATACTTGACTCTTCCCCTTTTAATCTTCTGCTTTCTACTGTTTCACCTTCCATCTTCTTTCTTACACTCTTCTTTTATTCTCTTTTCTCTTCTCTTACCTCTTCTGTCTTTTTCCCCATCCTTCTTTTATCCTTCACAATCATCTTTCCCTCCTCTCTACTTTTATCACACTGCTCTCCCTTTCACTCACCCCTTCTTTTTCCTTCTCTTCCTTCCTTCCTCTCATTTCACCTACCTCCTCTTTTCTTGTCCTTCCACTTTCCCCAACTTCCTTTTTCCCTCCTCTATCCAGCCTCTTCCTCCTTTCCTCCTCTCTTCTCTGATCTTCCTTATTTCCTTCCTAATTTCTCTTCTTATTCTTTTGTTTGTTTGTTTGTTTGTTTTTTTTTGTTTTTCGAGACAGGGTTTCTCTGTGGCTTTGGAGCCTGTCCTGGCACTAGCTCTGTAGACCAGGCTGGTCTCGAACTCACAGAGATCCGCCTGCCTCTGCCTCCCAAGTGCTGGGATTAAAGGCGTGCGCCCGGCTTCTCTTCTTATTCTTATTCTCCTCCTCTTCCTCCTCCTTCTGCTGCTGCTGCTGCTGCTGCTCCTCCTCCTCCTCCATCTTTTTAGCTAGACAGAGTTTCGTTGTGTAACAATCTTGACTGCCCTGAAACTTGATCAGTAGATCAGGCTGGACGGCAACTCAGAGATCCACCTTCCTATGCCTCCTTTAGGTTGTGATTAAACACATGGACCAGCAAACATGACTCCCTTCTGTTGTCTGAGGTTTCTGTCTTTCCCAGTCCCCCAGCCATTTACTCCCAAAAGAAAATCACACAGAGGTCTACATTAGTTACAAAATAATTGGCCCATTTGTTCAGGCTTCTCATTAACTATGATAGCTTATATTAGCCCATTACCCTGCCATAGGGTAACCTGCTCCCTACTCCTTTTCCTAGACTCTATATTACACCTTCCACACATCCTCATGTAAACCCTACTTAGAATGTACCCTTCCCAGAATCACCGAACACAAGTGTAGACAAATATCTTCACAATTAGTAAAATCCCCGCTCAAGAATCATTTCAAATTTTCTATGAATTCCTGTGCGTATTTACAAAGCAGCAACTACATCTCTGGTCCAAAGATAGGGCAGAAGAATCCCTTAGGTGCTCTTAGCATGGAGCTGAAGACATTGTGAACACCAGGTTGGAGTTTGACATTAAACCTCTGGCCTGTAGAAGATCAGGCAGTTGTCCTGAGTAATGAGACAGATTGTTCACCTTCAGTTTCCCCTTTTCTATCTGAAATTGTGGGCATGTTTCCCAGCCCACTCTTGTGCAACAGTCTCCCACCTTTCTATGAGCCTTCTGCCCTGTCTGACATGTGTCTTCTTTTTCACTGTTCACCCTGATCCTCTCAGCCTCCGGTCAAACCTAGGCCTCCTATCAACCTTCTTATTCTCCTGTTTACATCTTCATTCTCCTTCCATCACACATTGCTTCTGATCACCTGCATCACTTCCTGTCCTCCTGCCTAGCTTTCTGTCCCTCCAAGTCATGTTGTTGATGTGGGAGTGTCATATATCAATCTGTTGATTTCATTGGTTAAGTTATAATAAACCAGCTGCTTGGCCTCATGGCTTGGAACATAGATGGGAGGAGTAAACAGAATAGAATTCTGGGCGGAAGAGGAAGTGAGGTCAGACTCTGCTCTGCTCCCGGAGAGACCCGACAGCTCTGCTGGAGCAGAGACGCCATGCTCAGCTCTCCTGGGTAGACTCGACAGCTCTGCTCTCTGGAGCAGAGACATCATGATGGACGGAGGCTAGAATCTTCCCGGTAAGCGCACCTTGGGGTGCTTACACACATCATTAGAAATGGGCTAGTCCAGGTGCGAGAATTAGCCTGTAAGGGCTAGAGTTCATGGGCCAAGCAGTTCTTAAATGAAAACAGTTTGTGTGTTGTTATTTCGGGCATGAGCTAGCCAAGCGGCCGGGGTGTTGGGGACGCAGCCCCGCCGCTCATATTTCAACATGTTGTCATATATATGAGCCACTTGCCCTCCTGAAGAGAGTGAGCTTAACCAATGACAGGCTCCCTTCTTGCCCATCCCAGGTTTTTACTCTTTATGTGCACAGGTACCTTTGTCTTTATTGTACTTCCTTATCCATCAACTTCATCCTTTTTTTACAACCCCGCCAATTGCCAACACTGGTACATGACATCTGGTACATGATGCTCTCTGCAGCATACACCTTGCCTTCCTCTAAGACTCTTAAACTACAATACTTGAACTACCCTGTTATTTGCTAAAATCTTTTTATCCATTCTCCCTGCTGCATCCATTTCTTGCTAACCTGGCAAGTATGTGACCACCTCTTCAGAATTCTGTTACTACCTCTGCCTCCTACTCTCTCCAAAGCCTCCTATTCTCCTGGTCCCTGTCCTCCATGCCCCTCGAAGTGCTCCTAGTCTTCTCATGTCTCCATCAACCTCCCGCCTTACTCCAGTCTTTTTGCTCTTGGTGCATATCCTGCCCTGCTCAGCAGCATTGTCATCCAGGACAGTCTCTGAATTTCCTCCATACTTCTACACTCATACCCAGGCCCCATGCTTCCACACAGACCGTCCCCAAACCTCAGACACTTCCCTCTAGTCATGGAGTATAAACTCACCCTGGCTATCCTGTCATTGTCCTAGCTTCCTTCCTATCATCTCAAACTCTTGATTTCCTCAGTATACCTAGGAGCACCCCAAGCCCCCTGTCCTTGTCAGTCTCACTGTCCTCCTCAGATACTCCTTTTTTTCAAGTTCCCCTTCATAGCCCTGATAACTAGATTTCTCATTTACTTCAGTCTCTGAATTAAATTCTTGACAACCTTGCCTTCCTCCACAAGCCTTTGCCCTCTTTCCCCCCATGTTCCTGACATCTCAACCCAGATGTTAGCCTTTCTGCATTGTCTGTACTGTCCTTGGCCTTCTGCATGCCATTTTTCTGTTGTCCATCTGTTAAATTTCAATTGGAACCTCCTTGCCTGGTACTCAGATTCCTAGATACCCTGGTCTGCTTCTGAACCCGGTACTGTACTCTTCCCAGAAACACGCTTCTCTCCTATCTCTTTTCACCAGCAGAAGGCTCCTATCCCCATCCTCAGACCTAGCATTTCCAATCTTCCCATCTTTGGCAATCACTTCCTGGCTCTGGCCTCTACCCATCTGCTTACACCTTGCCCTCCTGAGTTCCCTCTTATTTTCTGGCAATCCCACTGTGTCTCCTGCCCTCTTAACCACAATCCTGTTACTCTTCTCCAGTTCTATCCTTCTCCTTCCCTTCCCTTTTACACATGTTTAAGGAGTGAGTGCTCTGTCTGCATGTATATCTACATGCTGAGAGAGGGCATCAGATTCAATTATAGATGATCACACTTATAGGTTGTGAGAAACCACTGGTTGCTGGGAATTGAACTCAGGACTTCTGGAAGAGCAACAAGTGCGTTAACCTGCTGAGCCATCTCTCTAGACCTTCCAATCTCTTTTACCCTATCCTCATTATCCTTATGTTGTCCCAGAGCCCCAGACTCAAGAGCATGTACCCCATTCTCAGCTGCCATTCCTCATGATATCTCCTGTGTGCTCACAGCCATGTGTGTCTGGGGTCTTCTTGCAACCTGATATCATCCTCCTAAGCCTTACAGAAGCCAGCCCATTGCCTATCTTTCTAACCTGACTTTGTGTGTGGCCCTAGCTTTTTGACTTCCCATGAACCTCTTTTTCCAGGCTTCTCAATTTCAAGAACCTCTGGTTCCATTCACTAGTTACACATAGGAAACATTTCGCCTCCTACCAAGTCTTCTCCACTCTTATGATTCTGATCATGTTCCTCCATAATAACCTTGGTATATCTGCTGACATTTCCATTTGTCCCTCCTCCCTCAACTCTTATCACCTACAACATATTGTTCTCAGCTCCATCTTCTTTCCACCCCATTCTTCTAATGCCCTCTAAGCTGCCTGTATCCTCACCACCCTGCAGTGCCTGGCCTATTCCCTTCACCTCTACCCTGTCCCTGAGTTTCCTGCTCTCTTCTCCAACTGTACTGTCCCACTGACCATTATAGCATTCCAGTGCACCACCTTCTCTGCTCTTCTTCATCTATATTCTATTCTTCCCTATTCTTTCCCAGTGATCTACCATCACCCTCACCATCTCCCCCTCCTCTTCAGTCAACTCCACATACTTTAAGTGTCCTATAGCTTTCCAAACTCACCCCAGGCTCCTTTTTTGTAACCAGGGTTCTGCCCTTCTGTTCAGACTCATGAAGTCTTCTAAATACTTATGTCGTTCCCACTCTTCATCCTCCTCTTCATCCTCCATTGTTTGCCTGAGTCTTCTGCTCTGTCTCCTTCCTCATCCTACTTCCTAGTTTCCCTACTATTATATTACCTCCTCATCCTTTCATTTCCCCCACTCACATCTACTGCCTATTTTCTGATTTTCCTAGACTCATTTGAGCACCGTGCCTTTGACCTCAGCTTCCACTCCCTGCTTCCCTGTCTCCTCTCCTTGACCCCCTTCAATCTGCTTCTTTCTCCACTTCTCTCTTTTCATGAAACCTCTCCTACTTTTCTCTTTACTCCTCCTCAATCTTCCCTACTCTCTTCTCTCAATTCTCCATTTCCCTCCATTTTCCCCTCCCTCTCCCACTTCCCTCCTTCTTCCTATTACATTTTTCCTCCCTTATATATCATTAGCCCTCTTACATACTCTTCTCTGGCTCCTCCCCTTCCTTCTCTCTTCCCTCTTCCCTCCTGTTGTATCATATTACTTCATCCCCAGCCTTCCCTTATTCATCTACCTTACTCATGCTCCCTATTCCTCTCCATCCTTCATCTTCCTTTCTCCTCTGCCTCTCGTTTCCATACTCTTTCCTCCTCCCTATTTGCTTAGCTTCCCTTTCCCTTTCTTCTTTCCCTCCTAGCTCTTTTTTCAAATTCCAACTTCCCTCTTCTCTTTTTCTACATTTTCCTTCCCCTATTTCTTTTTCTCTCATCTTCCCTCTTTGATTTTCTTCCTTCTTTATTTCTACCAATCTCTTTCCTCCTCTTCAACTATCCTATATCTCTTATCTTCCCT